TTGTATTGTTTGATACATATGCGTACCGAACCGAAAGCACTGTATCGAACGGTTCAATATCGATACGAATATCGTTGCACCCCTAATATATAGATATATAGATATATAGATATATAGATATATAGATATATAGATATATATAGATATATAATTTTGGGGGGGAAAACCCCCAGTATTGAAATTTACCTCATTTGTCTCAAATATTACATTTCAGTTACAATTCAAGGTATACATTTCTGGAACTTTTTATTTAGTAATTTTTGTGGCAATAACCAAACAAAAAAGCAACATATTAACATTCTCTGCCATAAGAACATTTAAGAGAAAAAAAACAACGACCAAAAAACCAGACCAAGATTAATACAATAATATGTCGTAGGGGAGATTTATAGCTTTATATTATGTTCCAAAGTTCTTTTTCATTCACCCAAGTATCTGGCCACACAGTTCCATCTCTGGTAGAAGATATCCATCTTAAGTTGCAAGCTTGCTCTGATTCGTTCCATTATATGAACACTTTTCAGTCTTTGTTTCCATTGTGTTATGGATGGTGAGTTTGTTTGTTTCCATTTCACAGTTATCATTTTCTTAGCTATCAGTAAGAGTATCCACAGAATATATTTTTCATCTATGGTATACATCTCTCTAGGTGTAACTCCACAGAGAAATATGGTGAGGTTTAGTGCAGTATTTACTTGTAGGATTTTCTCTATTTCTTCTTTGATTCTTATCCAGAAACCTTGAATTATTGGACAATCCCAAAGGATATGCGAATAGTCTCCTATTCCCCCACATTTTCTCCAACATAGTTCTCAATTGAGTTCCTTACAATATGAGGAGATAACAAGAGGTGTATTAAAAAATCTAATTTTAAATTTCCAGTCAAACTCTCTCCATAATTGATTACTTATTCCCATCTCTTCCCATACATTATCAATGATAATAATATTTAGTTCTAGTTCCCATTTCTCTTTAATATGGCCTGTATTTTGGCATGTCTCATTTGTAAGCCTTTTGTATATATAAGAAACATGTTTCTTAGTTGGGAGATGTTTTTCTATAATTGTAATAAAGTATTCTTCCAAGCTGTTAGGAAATTTATTGATCAGGTCTCTTTCCTTATGGTTTAGGATATAATGTCTTATCTGAAGGTATCTATATAAATCTTTAGGAGGAAGTTGGAATTGTTCCTGGAGCTGATTAAAGGATTTGATCTCTGTTCCATTAAATAATTGATTTATTGTGTAAAGGCCTGCATTGGTCCATCTACTAAAGCCACTGTCCCACACGGAAGGCACGGAAGGTATACATTTCTATTTCATATCATTTATAATTTGTGACTGACTAACAGACAATTATTAATATGCAATGACCACTGGATGAACTAAAACTAAAACTAAAAAGATTTTATCCTTGTACGTTTCACATAAAATGGAAGTCAAACTGATGTAGTGAATATTCTTTTATTGCAGAGAAAACTGGGCAATATAATTTACTTAAGATGTTGAGATATCAGAACATTAAACAGGCTGATGTTTGGGTAAAAGGCTCTAGCAGGAGAGAGATGATACAGAACTAATACTGACACACTTTATGAATGTACAGCTTTTCACAGCTCTTTGAACCTGTCATGGTATCTGCGTCTCCTTGGTTGACCTAGTTTCAGGCCACATGTTTTTGCTTTTTGTCTCTCTAGCTGCATCTCAAAACTGCATCCTCCTCAGGCTGTATTTGTAGACCAATTACGTCACAGCGACGCAACGAAGGCTGTCCAAATTCGTAGACTCCTCCAAATCTGACCGACAAATGCGTCCTCTTTTTCCCCAGATTTGAAGGTTGGGTCTGGTGTATGCTTCATGGCCCACCATATCCCAGAATTCATAGCGCGGCCCAGCCAATTCCAGTTTCCAACAATGGTGGTCGCAAGTTTTAATATTAGTCTTATTACTCTTTCTGGGTCACAAAATAAACTTTTAAGATATTTTCAGGCGAGAAAATAGCTGTGTAAACTTCAAATATCTGCTTGGTTTATCAAGACATTGCATATTTGCAAAAGTGCTCTGATGTTTTTGGAGACGTCTGTTACCCACCAGCAGCGGACTCCTGGGTTTATTGTTTTCAGACCCCCGCTCTTTCGCTACTCAGGTTAAAGATGATATATAAGTCACTCGGATAACTTAAAAATGTAATTGTTTGGCTTTTTTTGGTAAATTGGTTTGGCTGAGATCAAAGTTATTAGATTAAATAAACTTTATTAATCCATCAGGTGGGGTCATCCGGGATTTTCACACAGCTGAATAAACATCAAACAGAAAACGGATTAAACAGAAGTGTGAGACGGTCAAGAATTTGCGGCAGTGTCCTGTTATATTTTAGATAGCAAGGAGGAGACGGCCGAGTTTATTAAACTCCACTGAGACAGCGGTGATGCAAATCTGAAGGCTAGACCATCCCATTTCACAGCCTCGCACTTCCGGCCTTCTCTGTCTTCGAAGGACCCGGCCCACGTAGACCACGAAGGCCAGGTCCTCTGAACGATGCAGCCTAGGTTTTGGGACACATCTTCTCTCTCTCCTATTTCTCCTCTGTCTGCCTGGGCAGAGCTCAGCTGGGCTCCCGTCCTTGGCCTATGCACCTGTTGTAATCACCCACCTACTGTGAGTTTGCATGATTACCTGACTGCCTGAGCTGCTATTTAAGATGGTGGCTCAGAATGCTTGTTTGCTGGATCATTGAGTAACTCTCGTCACTACAGCTCAGTTAACCTCTGTTTTATGTATGAAGTTCTAGTCTGTTTTATTGACGTTTCTTTGTGTATACATTCCTGGACCCATCCATGTTTCCTGATCTGTCCCCCTGAGTCTGGCAGAGAGGTGTGAGTGCCAAAGAGGATTGTGAAAGTGGAGAGTGAGGAGTGGCCCTGTGGAGTGTGTTTTGGACAAGTTTCTCTTCCTTCCCTGGAAACCCCTGTCCCATGTACTGTATATAGTTTCACTTGGTAGAACTATAAATAAACTTCTGACTTAAATTCTCAATTCAGCTGGTCTGCGGCTGAGTCCGTTCCACCTTTGTGACAGAACCTTTTATTTAAATGAGGTGCATACTTTTCCCAGTGAAATCGGCACAATCCCACAGTGATGAAAACAATATTTTAACTAAATATATTCTGGATAAATCAAAGCATTGTCAAATTTATCCATAGTTCCCTTTATTTTTTCCTTCTTTCCTTGTCAGATCCTGTCCTGCAGGATTTCTCCTTCTCTTTCTTACACACTGCTGAATCTGTCCTGGTGTATCATCAGGGGTGAAGAGCCTCTGTCCCATCTCATCTCATCTTCTCAGTCTCTTCTTACTCTGGACGTTTGCAGAAGAAAATCAACCATAGTAGTTAACAACAAAAAAAGCAGAAGTTAGAAAACATAGTTTTCTAATAGAATCACATGGACATATTTTCTGTGGTTAAATCACACAATCACTGCATTGAATTTTAAAATCAATGCGGTATTTGATGGGAAGCCAATGCAAGTCAGCAAGGATAGGGGTGATAGGGGTGATAAAACCTGCCAGTTCCCATTAAGAGGTGTGCTGCCGCATTTTGAACAAGCTGTAGTCTGCAGAGAAGGGCAGGTTGGAGGCCAATATAGAGGGAGTTACAGTAGTCTAATTGAGCGGTCCCCAACCCCCGGGCCTCGGACCGGTACCGGTCCGTGAGTCGTTTGGTACTGGGCCGCGAGAGTTGAGGCTCAGGTGTGAAATGTATGGTTTTCAGGGTTTTTATCGGTTTTCAGCATTATTTTGCTATTATTTTTACTGTTAACTCGGTTTTTCTGGGTCTTTTCACGTGTGTTATGAATAAATCTTCTTTTTTTCGGTACCGGTACTAGTTTTATTTTGTTGTATTTATCCGCGACACCTTAAAGGCTGGTCCGTGAAAATATTGTTGGGCATAAACCGGTCCGTGGCACAAAAAAGGTTGGAGACCACTGGTCTAATCTAGAGGTGATAAAGGCATAGATACGTTTCTCAAGATCCTTACAGGGTATGTAAGGCTTGGCCTTAGCAATTTGGCGTAGTTAGTAAAAGCTTGATTTAACTACAGTGGACACTTGTTTGTCAAGTTTAAAAGAATTGTCCCAGAGAACGTATAGGTTGCTTACAGTATCAGAAAGAAAAGTAGCAAACGGCCCAAGTGAACCTGTTAGTTGGCCCCTAGGAATATGGCTATCGAAAACTACAATTTCTGTTTTCTTTTCATTAAAATGAGGGAGTTACTCAACAACCAATCCTTGACTTCTCTCATACAATCAACACATCCTCAGTCAGATGAAAGTACATTTGAATATCATCAGCATAGAGGTAGCAAATACAAAGCAAACAACATAGGGCCCAACACAGACCCTTCAGGCATGCCACAGGAAGAGGGGGCAACAGAGAAAGAATTCATTCCATCCTCCTTGCCCTCTTCCGTTTATGCAAAAACAAACAACTATGTTCAAGAGAAAACTTTTTTTAACATGTGCATTTGTATTTATATTGTGGGCAAAAGATGTCTTCTTTTTTTAAATTAGAAAAAAATTTGGGTAGGTCTAAAACCTGAAAGATTGCCTTAATCAATAGATAAACAACAAAGTTAATTGGCAAACTGTAAATAAATTACTAAGTGGGGAATGACACTCTCAGTCCCTTTTGTTTAGACTGTAGCATCATTTTTTAAAATGTGTTATTGATTGTTAAGCTTAAGAATGTAAAAGCTAGCACCAAGATTTAAAAAAGGTATCAAAGACATTGTTTACACCAGATGTCTTTAAGTTTCATTATTCTCATTTTTCTATATAAAAGGCCACACATGTTAAGTATGTAGAGCTACTCTAATACTTGTATGAGATAAATATGCCATACGATTTTCTTTTGGAAATTTGTGTGATCTGACTCTTTGAGACTGCATGGTGCTGACTGATGTGACACAACACTCCCAGAAATGTTACCCAGGGAAGAAAAAGCCAAATCAAGTATGCGGTTCTGCTGTGGTGACAGCCAAAAGAAGCACTGGACAAACTGGCTCCGAACCGCTACGCTGAAATCTATCAGTTAGTCTCATTAGTTTGTTTTCTTGAGCATGAAGATGCAAATCTTTAAAAGTTATAATACATGTATAGTTTCATAGAGTAAAGTACCTTAATTTATTAGACTCTTATGGCACTCTAACCAGCAGTGCACTTTTGGATTTTAGCGGCAGGATGATGTATGAGAAATTGAGATAATATAAACTGTACTGTGTGTTTACAGTAACTAAAGAAAATGTTAGTAATTGCAAAACTGTGGTACAGATACAGGTAACAGATATACTTCAAAAACAGACTGACCTTTGTGGTTCCTCCAGAGGCAGAACAGCAGCACCAGCACAACCAACACCACAGTCACGAAGAGGCAGACACCCACCACAGGAAGCAAAACATACATAGGAGGGGAGTGAAAAGATTTGGGTCGCCCAGCTTAAAAACGAAAGCAAACAGAAACCACAGTTTGTTCTTGATGCAAACGGGACAACAAGTTTGGTTTATTGCGTTGGTAGACTGTGATCTCTGTGCTATGCTCGAATAAAAGCACCAACAAATGTGAAAAGAGAAGTTATATCTACTGTGTGAAAAAGTTTCCTTTTTACTTTTTGGTTTTCTCACCTTTGACAGACAGCCAGCTGTCCAGTGATTCTCCGCTACCAGAGATGGTACACTTGTAGAAGCCTTCATCAGACTTTGAAACTTTGAGGATGGTAATGTTTCCTGTAGAGCTGTTCCTGATGAGGAGGCCATCTTTATAAAATTCAGCTGGGAGGTTGATAAAAGAAGTCTGTTTAACCATGCAGCGCAGAGTTGCAGCATCGCCCTCCTGCAGAGGATGGACCGGACTCTCCAGGATCACAGAGCCTCCTGAACAACAGCATGAAAGAAATCATGAATTATTTAAAGTGTTTCAAAGCTTCAGTTTAAAAAGAAAAAAGAAAAAAATGAATTCAAACAAAGTCAACCCAAACTGTCCTGCAGCTTCTTCCTTAAACTAAGACGCGTTCCAGATCAGATAAACTCAAAATGGAAAAAAACAAACCCAAAAAACAAACGTCATTGCTACAGCTGTCATATTTGGTGTCTGAATGGCTCAAAATAGTTGAATTCATTCATTTTCAGTTGCAACTGTATTTAAAAGCTTCTAATTTCATTACACACAGTGATCAGTTTCACTAGTGTATCCTTTTTGTTTAGCTAGGGGCGATTCTAGGATCAGGGCTTTGGGGTGCTGAGCACCCAGAGAGCTGCCCGGCCAGACAAGATAAACTTTACTCATCATGATGAGACTTCTTCCCCATCTCTGTCAGTCCCTGCATCCCTAAATGTCTCCAGTTGTTCCAAGTTCCCTCTGACTGTCTCCTTGGTGCATTTAAACCCCTGTTCCTCCCTGTCCTCATCATCTGTTGTCTTCATCTCCGTTATCAGTCATCATAATTTTACCATCTCTGTGCAAGTCTGCAAATTTCTTTATTAAATCATAAGATTCTTAAATTCATCAAGTCTCTCTGTGCCTGGGTCCTCATCACAATACATGACATCACTGTTTTTAACACAATTTAATTCCCACATTTGTGAAAGAAAAGCAAAACACTTTTTTAAAGTCTGTAACAAAACAATCAAATCTGATAAAGGTTATTTAAATGTCGCAAAAGAAGAATGGATTGGAATAAAAGAATACATATTCTAACCTTAATTACTGCGGGAGAATAATGATGCTCATAGTGAGTAAGAAGTAAACTGAGTGCATTTTTTGGACAGAGATTAACTTTTAATGTGTATGTATAATATAATACAGATATATAAAATACACTCCAAAAATAGAGTCCTTGAAATGCACAAATGTACAAAGAATTGATTAAAAAATTATAAAAATGGAGGCAACTTTGCCTATGGTACAATGTATGAAAAGATCTTTATTGACGATACTACTATGGCTCTGCAGATTTTTTTTTTCTTTTATTTTAACCTATGTCGCCTCACCTTGAAGTTGGCAAATCACTTTTGGTGGTCAACTCTCTCAAGCAGTTAAACGGTTTCTGTTTTGCCTGTCACTATTCCCTGTCTGTTTCCTTACCTGCTTCTTCCTGACCTTGTACTTTCTCCTCACATTCCCTCTTTCCTCTCTCCCTCTTTGGACTGACAATCATACACAAATAGATTGTATTCAATTAGATGAAAAAATTACATTAATATGAAAAAAAAAATACTATTAAGATCACTAATAAAAAACTCACTAACCCCACCCCTCCTGGCTCACAGCTTCTTCTTCTTCTTGGTTGGCAACCAATGTTAAGGCGCTGGCTCACAGCTCAGTGGACATTTAGATGAGAAAATATATATTTGACACATTTAAGGAAAATATCAATAAAATAAAATAAAAATAAATAAATGTTCCCTTTAGAATTTTTTTTGCTCTTTTTTGCTCTGTAAAAGAAAACTATTTTTTTAATCATTCATCTTAGCAGTAGGATTTACATTAAAAGAGAAACAAATTAAGTTTTGGTGAAAATATACATTTTTGCACTCTCTGGTCAACTGACTCAGTGACTCAAATGACTCAAGAAACCCGATTCACTTTGGTGAGTGACTCATTAAAACTCGATTCAGTAGAAAGAATCGAATTTACCATCACTAGACCCAGGTATGGCGAGGACGTCCTTAACGCCACTGCTCTGCTCTCCACAGTAAATAGAGAAGGGAGACTCTGTCTTCAAGCGCTAGCTCGACAGCTGCCATCTAGCAAAGATACCATCTGGCACAACTTCCTCCCACATTCCTCCCACATTTCCGGTTCACGTGCATCAAAATATGCAATTTTGAGGCGTGATTGATTTTTTTTGGACACGCGTCAAATTAGGGGCGTCGGGGGCGTTTTCGCTCGTGTCTATCGCGTTTGGTGTGAACACACCATTAGGGTTTAAAAACTGAGCTTTAAAATGATTAGCAGTAATAAAAACCGAGAGAAGCCGACAGTGATCACTGACTGTTTTTAGGGGCTTGTTGAGATTAAATAGAGCAAGATACAAAGCATTGTAACATGTTAAAAACAGCCTTATTAAGTGCAGACTACTTTGTGCCCAGAATTAGGATTCATCACGTCATCACTTAAAGACCGGATAGTATTTGTACCCCAAGGAAAAGTTTTTGTTCATTTTGAACTAAAGTTTAGCTAACAGGTTGCAGGTTCTAGCTTCAGTTTATTAGAGATTTAAAGAAATGAAAACACTAATAATGTCCTTTTCTGTATTTTAGCAAGAGTCTTTTTATATCTGCCTACTATTGGTTTGCTATCAGTAGGTCACATTCGGTATTAATATCGGACAATTGGTAAGAAGTCATTCGGCAGGAAACCACAAGGTTTTTAAAAGGTGTTTCAACAAATCCTCATGTCAGCTTCTCACAGTGTGTATTTAATTGTGCTGCTAGTATAACTAGAAGAATTGTAATGCTGTAATATGTCTTTACCAGTCGATAATAACACTACAATAACGTTAAGTGATCTACTGTAAAAGTTGCTTGTTGGATTTCCCTGAAATTTGATGCATACATTTATAAACCCTCAGTTTGCTCAGTGACACTTTCTATTAGGTCCAAATCTTCAGTCTCAGTGTTGATTTGTGCTTAATTCTAATTAGCAAATGTTCACAATTTTAATGTACTAAATTGTGAATGGAAACTTCATAAACCTGCTGAACATCTCACCAGCATGTTAGTATTGTATTTAGATCAAAATTCCGCATACAGAACTATCTGTAATCCAAATGACAGCCCCTTCAATTTAGTACTTAAACTCACTGGTCACAGTGATGTTGACAGCTTCACTGCAGGCTCCAGCTCCAGAGTCACACCAGTACAATCCACTGTCTGATGGGTAAGCATCTTGAAGGAAGCAGTTTGATTCATTTTTTGTGCCCCAGTGTTTTGAACACTCTTCATTTGTTTTTGTTGATGTGTTTCTCTTTATTGTCCAGTTAGAGTTTTTAAGCTCTCCACAGCTCAGTGTAACAGACTCGTACTTGAAGAACTGAGATCTGTTTGGAAAGATTCTCAGAGTGGCTGAAAGAAACAAAAAAACAGAGGTGAGACAAATTAAATGTATTTACAATAACAGATTTAAAGCAAGAGCTAGTAGGTAGCCACCACCTAAAACTGAAGTAGTATAACTGTTCAAAGCTTCTCTGAAAATTCTTTACCAAGGTCTAAACTCACAGACCTAATAAACAACTCTAACAGCCTCCATTGTGTTTCATGAAACAAGAATGCACTGTAAAAGCAAAAGAAACACAACTTACACAATTTCTCTCGATTTCACAGATTTGCAGCTCCGTTGCGTGAAATATGTAATGAAAGCTTCACATATTACCCACAAAACAGATACATCTGCATCTTCTGTTTCATATGAAACAGAAGGGTTTTTTGGGTTTGGGTTTTTTGAAAGATGCTCTTAATGGGTGAATATGTATTTGGTATATATCTGTATCAGGATGTCAGAGTGCAAATACACTAATTAAATGCTCAGATGCAATGCTTTTTATTTAGTCTATTGTCTGTTGTATTACTTAACTCACGAGCACAATAATAATTAATAATTAATAAGCATTTGCTTAATTTCAGTTCATTATCTAATAACAACTTCATTTGTAAATGAACACAAATTAATTTAAAAAAAACGCACAAAAACATCTGGAGTTAGAATCTACAACAAAATATTTTTAAAAAATTGAACAAAGAAAGCAATAAAACGTAAGAAGCTTAGCAACAATGGGGCAACAATTTGCTTGTAATAGTGATATTAATCAAAAATACAGTTTGCCAAGATTTTTAAGGATCATAAAGTAACAAATATTTCCTAGTAATGTAAGTAGCTGCCAGCCTTAGTTGGACAAATACAACAGAGCTGGCAGTTAATTGTAAAGTATTAACTGCCAGCTCTGTTTGGAATTGTTATGTTGGAAAGCTATGTTGGAATTCATGCGAAATACAAAAATGTAATTTTTCATGTTATGAAAACATCAAAGGCAGAACAATTAATCCATCTGTTCTTTCCATCCAAAAGCAGAAGCCCACACACAGACTCACTGGAGACTTCACACATTTTGAGTACTTACCGACAATGGTGCACAGAGCTATGATCTCCATGCTGCTTGGCTGGTGTTTGACTCTCAGACTGAAGAGTTTCGGAGGGGGTGCATCACACCTCAGTGCTGACTTAGTGAAAAAGACAGCTGTGCAGGATGTTGTGACACGATTCTGTGAAAGAAGGAAAACCACTCTCAACGAGAAGAGCAGTGGATGAGCCACTATAAAAAATAAGTTTTTAAAATATAATTTATTTATTTCCAAGCTGGCGGCGTCTCTCCGCCACTTTGCTCCAGCTTCCACCCGCATGGGCAGAGCTCTGAACTCCGCCCGCCGCTGTCTTGTACACAATGGCTTTATCTCAGGGTCTGCAGCCTTAACGGTCCACAAATACCACGTACTCAAAGACCGGAAGTGCAAGGCTTGTGAAATAGACCCTGTGCACGATAAAATGCTAACTTCCTGTTTTAAGACCCGATGTAGAATTGTACATTTCCGGTAGCTTTATTTTGCAGTCAATTGCTACTGCGAAGGTGGACTAAAAAATCATGTCCAAAATATGAAAACGGAAAGATTACGTTAAGTTACAAGGAGCAGAGGGTGGGAACACTCACCATTGCTGTGTTATAAAAAAAAATCTAATATCAATTTTGATGTTTGAAGAGCGTAGATCGATCGTTTGTTTACATCACTCAGCACAAGCAGAACTGAATTACTGCATGCAGAAGACACATCGTCCGTATTCAGAACCACATCTCTGTATAGTGACAGTTCTTATGATTTAAACCCCATGCACGCGTGCGCGCGCACACGCGCACACACACACACAC